TTTTTTTWAAGACCTTCACATATTAAGAAACACCACACTTTACAGACATGATAAGGATAATCTTTTTAAAAGTGACAACATTTCTTCAATTTGCAGCAGCCAATCATGACTTTTGGTTATAAAAGCTATATTATAACAGAAAACTATGATACAACATTGTGTTAAAGTAATAATAAATCATGATTTCAACAACAAAAAAGTTACCTTGTTTTATAATCTGCAATGGATCTAATCTTTGATCTATCACAATTAGAGAAGCCAAGCTTCTTTGTATTAGTGTGCACATTTTTTCATACTGAGCATATTACCTTTTAGCTTTTATATATTATTGGCAAGTCTTTTTCACTGTATGTGAAGTTAGTTCCAAGACTTTTAGAAGTTTAACAACTACAAAAGCAAAACCGATCTGAAAAGATTTGTGAGAAAAMTACACAATATTATGATGCTTCGGGGCTGTTTGATTATCAATCAATGAATCTAAACATCATATAAACCTTTCTATTTGCATTACAATATACTCACCAGCTTAAATACAATGATCATGGAATTAATATTTGGACTCAGCATAAAAAACATGTTAAAATATAGATATAACAGAGTGCCTGGAAAAAATGAACAGGAACAGCACCTCGTACAAAACATTACTCATTACCTGTTTGCTGAATGATGCCTCAGGTCATTTTTTTTAATGGAATATAGAGAACATATGGTTACATCAGGTCGATTATTAAATCATTCAAAAATGTAAACATCAGAGGAAAAGGATTTCTAAAAGTGATGTCACTGTTAAAAATAATATCATTTGATGTCAAAAAAAAGGAAACAAATAAGTTTTGAAATGGTTCATTATTCCGTTTTTTGTAAAAACAAACTGTTTGTTGAAAATATAGCATTAGAATCTGAAATTGTTTCCAAATTTATAAATAATGTTCCTGTACTAACTTGAGAATAAAAAATTCTTTTAAACACTGCATGAAGGCAAATTTTAAGAAAAGTACCAAATATTGTACGACACAAAAAAATAGAAAACAAGACAATTTAATCAATCAGCTGTTTTACACAATAACTGAGGTATAAAGTCTTCTTATAATTCTTACATTCCAGCAACAAAAGTGCAAATCTATCGCTTCCTTGAATGTTAGCTGAATGAAATAGAAAAACAAATGAGAAATGCTTTCTTATCTTTATCCAACATGAGAGCTATATGTAACATGAAACCCAAGAAAGCAAGCAATTTAAATTCATTTTTATATACTTAGTACCCAGGCAGCTTTAGAAAAACTTTGATTTTTTTTTTTTTTTTTTTTTGCTCTTAAAGAGAGCACCATTACTAAAAATTCCTAAAAATCCTGACATTATAAGAGATCAGAAATCATATAATTTATTCACTATTAAGAAGTGGTTTATTAGAAAAGTAAACAAAATATACTAAATGTAAATTTTGACAAAATGTGTCGGAAAGTAGTCATAATTCTGCATGTTACTTAACTGTAACCAAAAACAACACATGTAATTCAGAGATTGTTTTGTAAGATGGGAATTACAGTTTCTTATGTACAAGGATGTTTCACAACATCTAAAGATCTCACCGCAAAAAGGAAAAATAAGTAGGTAAACATTCATCTTAGAGGTATCGAAAGACTAGAAATACGTCTACCAGATAATCTGAGGGGAATTTCTAATACAAAGATCCACAGGACATGGCTTAAAATGACTTTATCAGATGAATGGTAAAGGGATTACAAATAGTCTTAAAAGGAACCAGAGTGTTAAAACCAAGATTACCTTGTACAAATTATGTAGGGGCACATTTACAACATGGACTTTGCAGCAAAAAAAAAAAATTCATTGCCTAAATGTATTTAGAAGGGATAAGGGAGAATGAAACTCTATTCTTGTATAATTAATTAATGTGGAATAGTCAAAAGATATAATGAAGAGACAAATAGAAAGACTACTATATAAGTGTCTAAAAATTTTCATGGACACACATTTGCTAATTCTATTTGACAGGGTGAAACAACGTACATAAGCTTATGTACCTTAAAAACCTAGATTTTTTCATCATAAAAATAGCAGTACTAAAGATCATCGAATAACAACAATATTAACAATAACAC